TCAACCGTTTGACGGCAAATAAAAGAGCTTCAACACCGCCGTCGTCTGTATGCACGTACAAATAATTAACTGCACTTGAAGCTTTCATAAAATTAAAAATGAAACACCCAAAACTGTACATGGCATCACCACGAAGACGAACTATATGTTTATACGTGAAATTCTGGAGGGGACGTCGGATGGCGTCACGTGGGACGTAATGACGTGTGCCATTAATCGAACTATGTACTATAACATGTAAAACGGGAACATGAAAGGAATATTCTAAAAGCAACTCTGTAAACACCATAATCATAATATTGGCTTATTTAGAATAAAGTAAATAATTAGATTATTACTGATGTCCATGTAAACGTAGTCACTGACAACTAAAAAGGAGTGGGAAACATCTGTGACAACATCTGACATCATAGTGTTCATCTGAGACATAATAATAATAATAATAATAATAACAGTTTAGTGACCTTTACATATACAGTAGTGCATAATATTTAATATTTCTTATCAGTTTTACACTATAATAATAAATTGTTTTAAAAATCGTAAAGCGTTCCATTTCCTCCAGGTTTTAAATCCCAGATTTTCATTGTGCTCTCAGACTTTTTGGACCCCACAGTCAGACTACTTTGACTAGCCGTTATATTGCATCACCAAAGAAATATAACGATATAAGTAGGGGCTCCATTCTAAGGAGGAGCTTTTTCAAATATGAAAACTTTTTTGCTTTCATCCCACATAGTTCTACTGCTGTTTAATTCACCTTGCATTGCTTTGAGATCAAAGACATGGCAGATTCACAGGCCATAGAGCACTTCTCTCTCCTCTCTGGGGAGATGTGAGCTTTGTGCTCCTCCTCTGAATGCTGTGGTAGTGAAGAACTGTGCGTGCCTCTGTTAGTCATGGCGCATTTGACTGAACCTCATGAGATTGGCCCAAGACCTTGATGGAAAGCCCTTTGCGAATGTACCCAAGCAGCTCCTGCAGTATGATGAATGCAGGCATCTAGTTTGGTCTCTGCAGATTCTTCTCATTAAATATTTAAAACTCTAAATGCAGCTATTAGTAATCGAGATACACAAAGCTTCCTGTTTCTCTTACCAAACCCCTGTGCTGGTAAAATCCCAGCAGTGTCGCAGAAACTTTTCAAATTTCATGCCACATAGAAGCACTATTGCGTAGTTTGAACACATAATTAAAACAAAAATCACATTTCGTTTGGGAGTTTTGTTTGAATTATATTTAATCATGTTCATTGCTAGGTGTAACTGCTCCTCAAGGCGTTTCCTTATTATTTGCCTCCGCCCACATTATTTGATGATGCAATATCTTCCTTTTGACCACATATATTGTCTTTTTTGCTATGAAAAAAACCTTTCTCTTGAATTTATTGCTCATTTTTTATCTTATTCTTTATTCACAGTTTAGGTCTCTTTTGTGTCTTCCACTTATTCTTGTTGAATTTAACTCTCTAATTTCATCCCTCAGACTTATAAACAACAAAAAAAGTACAAAATTTTTGATGCTTTATGAAATCTTATTTAAAGATATAATTTAAACTTAATATTGCGCTATTAAGGTGCAGTTTATGTAAATCCATGTTTTCTTTTTGTTATTGAAAAGGTTTCTTGTTAGAGATACAACCATGTTTTCCCTGATCATGTATGTATTTATGTTCCTCACAACAAAACAAAACAAAAATCAATATCATCTTTATTTCTAGGTAAAATGTCCCATAATAATATGAATAATAATAATAGTATATTTAAAGTAAAGTGTTTATTCATGCAATTTTCAATCATTTGTAATTTATTCTTCAATACCATGCTAACAGTTGTTTATGCAATTTGCAATCATAAATATATTTATTTCTGATTAATCATAATGTTCATCCGAGACAGTTTCCCATTGTAAGCTTTTTACTGATTAATAATAAACTACATTCATTCACTTTTTAAAATAATTTTTGCCATGTATTATTCCTCCATGCCATGCTAATTCTAATTATTCATAAATGCGATAATTTGGCTATTGCTTTACTTCTTAATATATTTTATTTTTATTTGATTTATTACATGCATCAGTCCCGTGTTGTATGTAAATGGTTAACTGACCCCACAAAGGTGAAAGAGGTCACTGAAAACCATCAATAAGCAATTAAAAGCTCATTAACTGTTGACTTAAAGATGTCAGTTGCAGTCTTTTGACAGGCAGTACTAAAGTGTTAATACAACCTCTTCTTAGTTCTCTCTCTCTCTCTCTCTCTCTCTCTCTCTCTCTTCCTCTAGCATTTAATCTTTCCCGTTTTATCTCCTCTCTAACATTCAGTCGTTCCACTGGGCCTCATTTGTTCACCATCTTGCATTACTCCCTCTCCTCAAATTCACAGCCAACGCCCAGCTTCTGCAGTACTGCAGTCTCTCCTTTTCCAAAAGTCTCACCCCTCCTCTTGATCACTCTGTAGTTATCTGCAGTGAGGAGGAGGAGGGAGAGAAAGAGAGATGCCGTGAGGAAGAGCACACCTCACGACTCATGCTGCTGCAACACACCCAAGGATCACAGCGACAGTCTGGCAGTTCATCACAATTCATTCTACCAACAGTCACTCAGGCACTTAGAGTCTTGTACATTTACACAGGAATGCAATTCATAACTCACATGCTCTCTCTCTCTCTCTTGCTTGCATGACTGTCCTCCCTCCGGCCTCTCATTAATCAGAGCTCTCTAACCCACTGCCCTCTCACAGGAGAAACAGCATGAAGACCTAGGATGGAATAAAAAAAATAAAAAAACTCTTGGGACCTATTGTAAGCTGGCCCATCACATCGCAACAGTTTTGCCTGATCTAATCCTTACTAACTTGCATAAAACATTAAACAAGGCTAATCTTCCTTTTGCTGCAAAGAAAATATCTTTTCAATAATTCTACCCCATATGGTTCAAGAAGAATGCCTTGATTTCTTTGATTTATTGAAGCATAAACTCACATAAAACATTAAACGAGGCTGAATTGCATCTTGATGCAAATTATTTATATTATATAATTTATTTATATAATATAAAATGATATAATCTTCATAGAATTGATATATCCTTTTATTATATTATATGACAAAACATTTACACACATTATTTTTCACATAAAGAACCAATTATTTTAGTATCAATGATACACTATTACAGTATTTGTTCATGATTTGAATTTAGTTTTTTTTTAAGCTTTTTAGTTTTATTTGGTTTTAGTAATTTTACTATTTTTAAACTTAAAGTTATTTTATATATTACTTTATAGATAATAGTTTTAGTGAAAAATAACAGCACTCTCTTTTTTACACACACATCCAAATATGTGACTGTATTCTGGAAATAAAAGGTATTTAAGAGAAAATATTTCAATGTATATTAACCAAATCCTGCTGGGTGACTGCACTTAAATTGTCAAGCTCAGTAGTACACATTTAAATCTATTTATTTGGTGATTTTACTGACTTCATTAACTTTTTTCACATAGTAGTTTTGACAGGTGGCCTACAATTTCAAGAAGACGCCATGTGATCAGTCCAACCTGGGATGCACTGAACGACTCTTTCAGATTGGGCCTAAATTCAATCACCAAAATAAAGAGCCTTCAATGGAATGGAAAATCGCTCAAGATATTTCTGGAGATTTGATTAGAA